TACTGTAATTTTATACATTTCTTGTGAAAGAAACATTTCTTATTCAACGGCGATTAAAATTATTTATATTAATGATGTCTCCAAAGTTCAGCAAAGTTTTCGCAGAAAAATAACATCAGAAATCGCGGCCACAGTTTGCTGAGCTGTTCCGTGACGAAAATAAGCTTGAGCAACGGCGATGTCGAATGGTGCACACTCGGTAAGTAATCCTACAATTTTTTGTTTATAGCGTAGTTTATACGGATTATTTCCAAAAAATATATATGTATTTTGGAAATGTTGAGTCGGATTAGTCTAGAATCGATTAATTTTATGGAAGAAAACCTTTCAAACAGCCGTAGTCCGTAAACTTGACATGTGTCAGGCTGTGATTGGAAGGACTCGTAAGAAATCAGATTCCTAAAGAATGGAATGTATCTACTGTCTTATAGGGGGGGTCGACTGTAGTGTGTTGCTAACTATTTCAAGTTTATCATATCTATTAACACGTTCACTGTCACCCATTTTAAGGTAAAATTGCATTGAGTATGTGAATTTCTTTTTTCATTAAAATATGTCACTGTTTTACACAAATTAACAATACTTGAAATGAAAATTTTTTAAAAATCTTTATGGAATTATATACAATAACATGAAATTGAATCATTGGCACCACCAATGGACCTAAGTAATTAAAAACTATAGTAATTAAATATCTTGTAAGAAATATACTATATTTTATTGCTCAGTTTCTTGAAGATATTTTTCACATTTACAGATAATAAACATTCAAAAAAAATAATGCATGCTCCATTTACCAAAAAGTACAGAATACAGATGATGCAAAATCATATAAACTGGCAGTGAGCATGTTGAATAATGTATGTAATTATTGTTTTTATTACTATTAACAAAAAAATTATCATTATTAAATGACTTTTGATTAGTTAAAAATTATAAAATTGATTATTTTTGATATTTAAAACTCTGAAAATTTACTTAACCATGAAAATAAATCAGCTATTATAAATACTGTTTTGAATGATTGTCATGAAAAAAAATTCATGTTTTAGACAATCAACATAAACAAAAGGAAACTAAAAAGAAATAATAATAGCAAATTTTTCACTTGAGGTACATATTGTTTTGAAAAAATTTATGAGAATGAAAACAATTGTTCTGGTTTTGAAGAAATTCCCAATTGTTGGAAAATAGAATAATCATTTATATATCGTGAAATAATTAAATCCAGGAAGGATAAACAAACAAACTAACTAATCTAAAACTTCATTTAAATTCTTGCTTTTCAAAAATTTTTCTAATGATTTTATTAAAACACAACTGTCAACTATATAGTAATACCTTGACTTACGCTACCCCAACTTATGTGATTTTCAAATCTCGTCGATTCGTCTTTTGTTTGAGCGCCATGCAACTCTTGATTACTCACGCCCCCCACACTATTGTTCAGCTTACATGTTCAGACATGTTGGGCGGAATTAACACATAGCTACAATTTATTCTGTGTTATTTATTTCTGTGTTTGTTATATCTACGAAGACTTGAGAGACTATGTGGTGATTTCTTGTAACCATAAACGAATCAAAAGATGAGATAAGATTAACAAGAACATTTATTAGCTTACATACATAAGACTTGGATTTTACACAAATTGCGAAATTATACCCCGACTTATGAGAATTCGACTTATGCGGTTATCGCTCGGTCCCACCTATCATGTAAGTTCGGAGTATTACTGAACACACAATTAATAGTAAAAGGGAATAACTTATGGACTGA